AAGCCGGGGGCGGCCGCGCCGGGCCCGCGGGATCCTGCCTGCGCTCGGCGCTGCCCCCTGCTCCGTGGAGGACTCCCCGACGGCGCGAGCTGCCCAAGGCCCCGCGCCAGAGAGAAACCCCCGGGGCCGGGGGCTGGGACCGTGGCACCGGCCCCCCAGGACCCCTGTGGGCCGGGAGACCCCCGCTACGGGGCTGCCTAGCATCCGTGTGACCGGGCTCTCGGCCAGCCCTGTGGCGCCTCCAGCTCCTTTGCCAGCGTGAGGCTGCCAACGCCGAAACATGACTCTCAGGACAGAGGAGCAGGGGCCAAAGGGACCTCCAGAGGTCTAGCCCAGTGCTTCTCGACCTGTTTTGTACCAGCCCCACTTGTAAACATCAGTGGCCAGTCTCAGGGTCGACAGTGCCCCTCATTCCCGACCCACCATCCCCAACCCCCCACTGTGTGGGGCATGGGGGCCCCAAGCGGCCCCCTGTAGGTTCCCCACATTTTTCGCCTTTAAAGGAGAATCCTTTTTTAAAGTTTGTTGATCTGTTTTTAGAGTTGGTTTGCAACCCTTTCGTATATCCTTGCAGCCCACTTTTGGGTCGCGACCCACCGGTAGAGAAACAAGGATCTAGTCCAATCCCCTCCCTGAGGGTCCAAACCACCCAGTACCAACTCATAATCTAAACCCAGAGGCATGGGCGGACAGAGGAGTTTGAAAAAGGAGGAGTGCACATAAAGTGCATCACTTATCTCATGTAACACAGCACCTATTTTTCTCCAGGTAAAGAGATACTAGAAACTTTACAAATGTGCTAAGGGCCAGTGTATTCAGTTCAAGACAGATGAAAAAACTGATACAATATACGGCAAAGTTTCCCAACCCCTGGGCCATGGTCCAGTATCAGGCCACAAAGGGTTAACAGCCAGTCCAGAAGTGACCCACAGTGCTTTATTACACTGAGTATAAAAAAGGCTTGGCTTTATACTGTGGATTGGCAGCCAACCCCTTTTTTATACTCAGTATAAAAAAGGGTTGGCTGCTAGTCTGCAATACGCCAGTCACTTCAGGTCTGCAGCATGCCGGTCCATGGTTTGCAAGTCCACAGTCATGTCTGGTCCGTGGTTTTCCGGTCCAGGGTCTAAAACGGTTGGGAACCACTGATATATGGTATATGATATGATGTGACTTCATTGGGGTGAGTTAAAAACAGCCTGCATGGCTATGAAGTTGGAGCTATACTATCAGGAGCAGCTAACAGACACCAGAACTGCAGAAGACAGATTAGCTTGATTGGTGGAACATGGAGACCATTAAAAAGGAGGGAAGGTTGTTAACACTTGTGGAATGATGTTTAGAAGGGTTCAGGTAGATTATAAGGCGCTATAAAGTCAATTGGCTCCCTCTGCACTGCCTGGCTAGAAATGCTGCTGCCATTGCCAGACAGTTGCCTTTAAACTTTGGGGGGGAACCAGGAATCAAAGAAGGATGCAACTACACTAGTGCACCACCCACCCTGGATCCATCCCTGCCCAAAGGTTTCTGAAAGGAATCTATAGCGGCCAAACCATTCTGACTTGCTGTGGGCTTTCTGACTTCTTTGCAACAGAAGAATTGATCTATATTTTTCCCATGATCAAGAAATAAGTGAAAGGGAAGAGCTGGCATTTTCCGAGAAGTACCTTAAGTCTAAGGGGGTTGAGAACCACTGGGCTGAGCTCTCTCCTTCACCTGCTGAGCAAGTTCCTCCAGAACCAGAAGGGAAAACTGTTACAAAAAAACTTCCCTACATTTTGTCCATTTTCCCCATTAGTCTTCATGGGCCCCTTGAGTTCGCCTTCAAATAAACCAAAAAAATTGCCAACGTGTTCCAAATAAAATTGATTTTTGTCTTTAGGTTAAAGATTCCCCACTTTTTTTTAATCACAAAAAAATGAGTTTTCCCCACAAGTGTTTTAGTCCAAAAACAATGTTTCAACAATAAAAAATGAAAAGAAAAATGCCAATGGAGACATTTCAGCCAGGACTAAAGGTTTTGCTTCTTGCACTTTCCTAAATCTCAGCCCCTTTTAGACAGAGGGTTTCTATACAGGTTCTTAAACCACAGGCATTGTAGTATCTGATGTCCTTAATAATGGTGGAATCATGTGACTGAATGCAACCTGCTGTGTTTGTTCTCCTGTCCACATGGGCTCATCCACAAAGGATAACAGCAAAGAAAGTTTGATGTTTAAATCTCTCCCTTCAACACCATTCACTGCTCTCTACACCTAGCGTCAAGTAACTGAAGGGTCCTACTACTGGGGAGGTCTTCACAGAAGCATGTGCCAGATGGGGTAACTGTGTCTTTCAGATACCTTCTCTAGATCCCTCTCACAGGGTTTTCACTGTTGTGCCTTTCCCACCCACCCCCCAAATTAGGGCAGATTTCAGGGTCTTCTTTTTGACTCCAAAACTCCAGGACAGAAATCCAGTCTCTTGGCCATGAAGGAACTGAAAGTGAACCCACAGAAAACTCTAAAAACTACACCATGCATGCTACAATCAGTGGCTGAGGGAAGTTTCAATCATGTGAATTTGGGCTACATAAATCACCTCCTGTTTAAACACAAAAACCCATGGATGGTTTGTAGGTTGTAGTGGTGAGGCACCAATTGAGCAATCAAACACACAAAGCCACCACTGATGTTTGCAACTCACACACTGTTGACTGGTGCCTGTTGTGGTCAGCTCAGATGTGCAGAGGGGGAAAAAAAACAAACATGGTTTTCAGGGCACAAACCAAATCGCATCAACCATAAAAGGAATCAAGCCACACATCCTACTCCTTCCTGAGCTGCTACAGAGCAAAGACATGAAGAACTACTCCCAGCTTGGGAAGATCTGATTGACAATGCATCCTTACAGTGCCTAGGACAGAGCTGTCTTGACTTTTTCCTGTTCAAGCTTCCATCCCTAACAATGCAGTCCCCCTGCCCTCCAAGGCCAGAGGGAAGAATCAGCCTCCCCCTTATTAATCAGGTTATCACAACCACTTTGATGTAGATGGCATATCAGAGGAATAAGCTGTGGGCAGCAAGACAGGTGGGACCAAAAGCCTATAGGCAATGCCAAGTGGGTGGAAATATCACGTTTTGGACTACCCATGAAGACAGAGGCTTGAGGCTGAAGCAGGCTGCAGAAAACACATGGTTTAGACATCATCACACAGGCAGCTGCAATTGCAAGAAAAGGCCAGACTGAGAAGGGACTGTAGCGTTCTCCATGTAGTGCAAAAAGATGGCTGGGTGGGTCAGAAGCAGGAAGCAGACAACAGACTTCTGTTCCAGGGTCTACCACATCCTGTTGCTATGAGCCAAGAGTAGCTGATATTACCAATGATAGGAAGGATAAAAGCAAAACACGCCCCCCCAGTTGTGTAGAGATCTTATATGACTGATAGCAATGACTTCACCTTCATTCCTTGGGGTTTCCCCATTTGCTAAATGAGAACTCTAACCCCCTCCTCTCAGGTGCAGGTGCTGAAGTTTTAGTATTTGTAAAGCACTGGGAAATACTTTTATGGAAAGTACTGGAAAAAAAAAAAGTGAGGCTTATTTACCCTCCTTTTCACAGCTGGGTGGAACCCATTTCCTGGAGATATTCACAGCAGGCAGTTGGAGATAGGATCCACATTTAGAATCATACAAAAATTAGGGGTGGAAGGAGCCTCAGGAGGTCATCTAGTCCAACACCCTGGTCAAAGCAGAACCATCTCCAACTAAGTCATCCCAGCCAAGGCTTTGTCTAGCCATGTCTTAAAAACCTCCAAAGATGAAGAGTCCACAACCTCTCTGGGTAACCTGCTCCAGTGCTCTACTACCCTCCTAGGGAGAAAATGCTTCCTAATATCTAACGTAAACTTCCCTTGCTGCAACTTGAGACCATTGCTCCTTGTTTTGTCATCTGTCACCAATGAGAACAGTTTACCTCCATCCTCTTTTGAAACCCCCTTCACATAGGTGAAGGCTGCTATTACATCCCCTCTCTGGCAACACAACTACCAATGCAGCCCAGTATGCCATTAGCCTTCTTGGCAACAAGGGTGTACTGTTGGCTCATATTTAGCTTATTGTTCACTGTAACCCCCAGGTCCTTTTCTGCAGAGTTGCACCTCCAGGCCATACTAGTACATGGGATTGTTCCATCCTAAGTGCAGGACTTTGCACTTGTCCTTGTTGAACTGTAGGAGATTCCTTTTGGCCCAATCCTCCAATTTGTCTAGGTCATTCCGAATCCTAGCCCTACCTTCAAGTGCATTTACTACTCCCCCCAGCTTGGTGCCATCTGAAAACTTGCTGTGTATACTCTATGCTGTCTTCCAGGTCATTGATGAAGATATTGAACAAAACCAACCCCAGGACCGACCCCTGGGGCACTCTACTTGATACCAGCAGCCAACTAGACACTGAGCCATTGATTACTACCCTCTAAGCCTGATGCTCCAGCCAGTTTTCTATCCACCTTACAGTCCACTCATCCAGCCCATACTTCCTTAACTTGCCTACAAGAATTTTGTGGAAGACCATATTAAAAGTCTTGCTAAAAATCAAGATATACCACATCCACTAGTCTCCCCGCAACCACAGAGTTAATGTCTCAAAGATGAAAAGAAGCAACTTGGGCAAACCCAAACTAGAGCTCTCTAATCTCCCAGGAAATCTGTATTATACTCCAGCATAAACTATAGCTTATCCCAGGAGAAAAACGTCACAAGTTTCAGCCCTTGGTCTGGGCTCAGTTGGCAAAGACCAAACCTTCCTCCTTAATGCTTATGGTTTCTATTAAAAGTTGGGTTGATGTTGGCTCTGGCTAAAGAAAGCTACAGAATAAAGCTTGGGGATGCCAGTCACAATGCATATGGGAATTACATCAGAAATTGCAGGTAAAATAAAAGCAGCAAAGCCTCACCCAAACCCAGCTCCCCCACCAGAAAAAAAAGCCAGCGAGGAAGAGCTATCAAACAATATTTAATACATATTCTTCCCCAATCCCAGGGGTGATGGGGTTGTGACATGCTAATTTGCAGAGTTCAGTAGAAGACTGAGGAACTAAGCACAGACAGAGATTATGACTATAAAGGAACAAGAAAGCACCAGCTGGGAACTCTGTTTTACAGACATTTTTTTCCTTTTCAGAGGAGGCCTAAGCAATATTTTCACTACTACTGCAGGGTGATCTCCAGAAATAAGCCACAAGGAGGGGGAAGGTTGATTAGTCAATGCTGAACTGTGGATTAATATAGGATTTAGGCCAAAAAAGTGTTTCATGTGGGAGACCTGTACACAGAAAAGGGCACAATCCTGCTCAAAACAGACAGTACTCTGTTCATACTGGTGGCTTTAACCCAGGGGCTAAGATCTGCTTCCAAACATTTAACTCCCTCTTGCTGGCCAGCCCAAAAACATCAGCAACACCACTTTGTTACTCTATGATTGCCATTCTCCAATCATCATCCTGCTCATGATCTGCTGGGTTTCACTGCAAGCTCATTTCCTCTGGTCACAAGTTAGTAGCACTTGAAGGTAAAGAAAGTTGCCAGGTTGCAGTACAGCTGGGAGGGTGGAGAGCTGCTATACCCACTTCCATTCCCAGCCCCTTCAGTAACAGCATCATGGAGATAGAAGCAGGAGGTTTCCTCCACTGGAAAAGGGCTGCCCTTCAAGGAATTATGCTTTCCACTGTATTCACGATTATCATGGATATTCACTATGCTTGGCACCAACGATCTTCAAGCCCTCTTTTCAAGGGGAGGAACATTAACCGAGGCAGGGATTTTTCTCCACCCTAGAAATATTTCAAGAAAAACAAGCTCTCTTGAAAGTGCTGGTTTACAATGAAACCACAACCTCTTTTCAGTTTAATGAGACTGGATCCCTCCCTCACATGCAAATTCTGTTTCACCAAAAAATGTATTTTCCACCATAAAAACACCAACAAGTTTCTCTATTAGCTCTGGTACTAACCCCAATTCATATAATTAAAATTCTGCTTCTCTAGAATGCCCCTGCCGTTTCAGCTGAATGCAGCATCTTTTTCACTTCCTGTCCTAATCTGCTGAGGAGTGTTATTGTGCAGTTTAACAGCTGGTGCCTTCCACTGGCTGCAATGGAGCTTGCTTATTTACAGAGGAATGCAATTTCTCTATATCCTCTCTCAATCTTGCCAGGCCCAACAATTCAAACATAGCTGAACTGGTGGGTGCTTGGGAAGCAGAGTATTGCAATATCTACTTTCTGCTTTCCTCTTCTTCAGCCTGACAGTAACAATCCTTCTGGCTAAGACCAAGCATGGCTACTTCTGGCTGTGCCATTAATGAAATATGCACTAAAAAACACAGAGAGAATGGGAGAAAGGGAAAAGAGAGACAACTTTGCACTCCCAAACTCAGAGACAGGGATGGGACCTGACCACTTCAAACACGGTAGCCTGCAGCATGAATACGTCTGACTGGCTGGCCCTCAATCTTTTTCTTAATCTTACTGTTTGTACTAAGAGTTGACTGGCTTCTCCCACCAACCTCACCCAGCCCAGACGAAACCCTATGCAACATGCCTTTTTGTACAGGAAGTGGCTATCAGTGGACAGGGGTGGCAGAAGCCAGCATCAAGGGCTTCCAGAACTCTTGACAGGACTTGGCTCAGCTGGGCACTCTTCCATCTTCCCAGTGTCCCCTGATCCATCATTCTGCTGCTTAATGTACTGATTCAGCAAAGCTGTAAGGCGCACAGAGTTGCTCTGCAGGACTGTGCACATCTGGGATGGCACAAGAGCAAGAGCACCCGCCACTTGCCCTTGGGCGAGCTCCAGGGAGGGCAGCTTGGAGTAGTTTAACACCCCTTGTCTGCTGAGGATGGTATTTTCAATGCAGGCACCTATAAGACAAACAAGAGGAACAGGCACTACTGAGTACAAGATACTGGCAACAAGGTGAAATTAGGTAATAAAAAAAGGTCAGAGATCTTTTTATTTTCTACAGAAGCATTAAAGAGAACATCTAATACTCAAAGACACAACCTCCATCTTGGGCTGCATCTGCTGGCGTGATGTGAAGCAGTGGACAAGGCACTGAACTAGAAGACAAGACACCTGGGGTCTCATTCTACTGAAGTGCCATAACTCCATGCAAAATCCCTTCCCGTGTCTCTTCTCTTCACCTACCCTTTAATCTTTTCTTTCTTGATTAAAAGCTCTGTGGCAGTAACCATCTTTCAGATGGGCAGAACTTAGTGCAAAAAAGGCTGCGATTTCAGCTGCTGCCTTTAAAGGCTCCTGTAACATCAGTAACAACATCTCATGCTTTTCACACAGGCTGATCCAATGTGGGGGAAAGTTCCCATACTGCAAAGCTGCCGCACTCAAGAGAACTCTTACCTAGGAGAACTACTTCTGGCACCCTTTTCAGTATCCGCAGCATTTCCTTTGCTTTGGTTTCCGGACTCACTAGCAATATATTGTTTCCCACGAAGAGAGGGAGGAGATTCTTGTACTTGGATTCTGAAAGGAAGGCTTTCATTATCTGAAAGAGGGAGGCAGGTCTCAGTATACAAAGGGGAAGCACAGATCATGCTGAATTTGCCATAATAAAATTGATCCCATCCCAAAAGGCACCACAGGGACAGCCCCCTTCGTTAACCTGAAAATAGAATCTGCCTAAAGAACACCCCCAATATTGGACATCAGCCTTCCACTACACTTTTCAGCACAATCAGCTTGGAACTAGCTTCAATTTAGACCAAGTAGCCAATAACATCAACTCCAACAGTCAGATGTTTTGCCATCATTCACTCCTCAATATTAACAGCCTTTTCTATAGCAATGTATTCAATGCTCCAGAAAGAGGAAGCAGTGTTCACACCCACCAGTAGCTGAATGAAAATCCTGTATGCTGAAGAATGTTCAACAGCCTCATCTAGGACTGACTACAGAATCCTGCTCAGCAGAGCAAGCCAGAATGGGTGAAATACACTTGCATGCAGTATACTGTGCTTGGCTCCCTAATATTCTGGGAGGCAGCTATTTTCCATCTGAAGTCCTGTATGGTTTGGGACTCAGATCTCCTTGCTCCCTGTGCAATACCTGGAAAGCCAAACCATTTATAGCAAGCTGGAGTGGAGTAAGAGGCAGGGTATTCTCTGTGGAGGGTCCCCACATGTACAGCCTGCTCCCTCTAGCGGTTTGCCAAAGTATGCTGGCTTTGGAAACAAGCTCCATTCTTAGGTTAAGGCTGTCCAAACTGGCAGCCCACGAAGGGTCTCTAGGCTCCCTGATCCTCTGGCTGTCATTTCCTGCCCCCGCCCCAGGTCATGGGATGGGGTGATGTGATGCAGCTTGCATGGTGCTGTGCAGGAAGGCAGGTTCCTATACACGCAGAATGCAGTAGGTGGCAGAGGCTGTGGAGTCCATGTGGCATGTAGCCTCCATTGGTGCAGCCCCTGGCCACTTAAAAGTTTGACAGCCCTGTTTTAGGCTATTTGCTGTGGTGGAACACAGAGCTCCAGCTTCAAATCTCTTGAGTTACAGCACTGCTTTTATTACATGCATTCAAGTCAAACACCATGTACTCTAGGTCATGGTAACCCTCTCGTCTGTCTTGCAACCTATGACCACAGCAACTTAGGCAAGGTTTGGAGTACAATGATTCGAGTACAAGCCACCTGCAGTGCCCAGTTTAGCCACCCATAGCACCAACCTACCTCATTTGGAAACCTCTTAACCCGAATGTTATGCTTCAGGAGATGATAATTCACGAGCTGCATTTCATCATTGGAAGGAGAGTTGAACTGACAAACAGCAATCATCTTGCTATCACGAAACATCTCCCCAACTTGGCGACGCAACAGTTTCTCATAGCCATCTTCCTGAAAGACCAAGAGCTAGTATTTACTACATCCTGACTTTGACAACTGTGTGGTCTCTGAAGAAACAGTGATGCACACCAAAGGCAGCAGGGATCACCTAAATAAGAACTTTGTCTGCACAGTATCTCACAGTGCTTTACGGCAGTCGTTATTTCTGTTTTCCAGGTGAGGAAACAGAAAGAGGTTGTACGACCTGCCCAAAGTGAGACACAGTCAGAGTATGATGGGAATCCTGAATCCCAACCACCTATTGTAATCACTAGACCAGGGCTGTCCAACTGGAGGACAGCAGGTGGCCCCGGGTTCCAGTTTGGGCACCCCCACCTTGGCAGCTGTTGCCATTAGACTCTACAAGACACGCCTCCCCAAACACACTATCCATTCTCCAGCTTCTACTGGCTAACTGCACAGGCACATGGCTGGAGGGAGACCCAGGGACCCTGTGTGGTGCACTGTGGGGTGTAAATATGGTACACTAGGGAACCTGCTATTTGGCACAGCAGCAGAGACCCATATGGTGACTGCATGCAGGGCACACCCCACCCCCAGCCTTGGTACAGCATATGATACACATAACACGCAGCTTGCGGGGGGGGGGTGGGGGGGTGACCCATGTAGTGTGTGGCTAGGGGCTCTGCAGCCCTTGGCCATGCAGAAGTTGGACACCATGAGAAGAACAAGGAACCTGATGTGACAATCAACAGATGTCAACACAAACTGTACCACTGACTTTGGGGCCCTTTCAAAACACAGGGCCAAACCCAAAAGAATGCAAAATAGAACAACATCTGCAAAGGCCAGTTTGAGCGGGGAGTAAGGAATCTGCATGATCCTAAGGCTTGGTTTAAATGACACCAAGAAGCCAGGCCCACAGCAAATTGACCAGCCAAATGGGCTGTAAAAAGACAAGGAAGGTCTGAAGGGCACCAAGTACATGTAGCTCCCATCATCCCATCAGCTTCAGTGCCATGGCTGGCCAGAAGGCCAGCCAAGAGTCGCAGCACCTCTTATCAGCTTCAGGACGTTGGTTGTGCATGAAGCACCTCCGAGAAGCCAGGCCCATAGCGAACAGACCAGCCAAAGAGGCTGCAAAGCAAAAGGAAGGTCAGAAGGGCACCAAATGCAAGTAGCTCCCATCCAGCGCCAGGAAAGCTGGCCCCAACGCCCAGCGCCCATGTCAGCCCCAGGAAGGCTGGACCGATACCAGGTGTCCCCAAGAAGCCAGGCCCAAAGCAAGCCAACCAGCCAGAGTCTGCAAAGCAAAAAGGAGGTCCAAACATGAAAGACGGCTAGAGATGGGGTCTTAGCACAGCTCCTCAACCAAGACAGATGCAGGAACAAGCTGCGGGCATGGAGCACGAGAAGTCCACACACCAGAGCCGGGCGGAGGGGGGCGGCAGGGCGTGCTAAGGGCCCCGGCCCTGGCGCCCCCTCGCCTTTACCTCCTGGAAGGGCACGACGGGCGGGACGATGCAGCGCGGCGGGACGAGCGGTCGGGGGGCGATGTACTCGGTGACGGCCATCAGCTTCTGGCGCTCGAAGTGCATCGCCTTCCAGTGCCGCGTGACGGCCTTGGAGGCGGCCCGCGCGGGCTGCGGCCG